AAGCAACAGAGACTTGCACAACAAATCATTCCTACACAACTTTCTGATCTCCATGCTTACACTATTAAAAGCTTACACTTACAAAAGCTTACACTATTGCTGCCCACACAAAGTTTTTCCCCCGGGTTTTCTTTTTCTGGACATGTCATCTTACATACACTGAGATTTTTCCTCACACCAGACTGGTGAACCAGTTCATTTCTGACAAATTCAAGTCATTTTATTTCATGCTTGGTCAGTAGATGATCTTAGAGGTCTTTTCCAACCTTCATGATTCTCTGACTGTGCTTTACAACGGGATACTAACAGTCCAGGACAGCCACAGAACAAAATCACTTATAATGGGAATTTTCAACACCCATCTTGCACAAAACAAAGAAATTCAAAAGATAATATCAGAAGACTGTTATTAAAACTGCATGACTTCTCAAAGGCCCGCTCTAGAGGCAAATCACAACAATTCAGAAGATACAAGTCACCTTGCTGAATGGAGAATTCTGAGGGATATGGCATCAGTACCACAAATGTCTGAAGTTCATGTGTACCTTGGCATTCAGCATCCAAGTATGTAATAGTAAAATATTCAAGTTCAACAGAGCCTTCACTTTGTAGAACTGAGTCCAGTTGTAGTACAATCCTGACACTGAGTCACATTTTACATGCAATCAGCAGGGGACGTAACCCTGTTTTATAAAGCAGTTTAAATAAAAGCAACCCCCCAACATGAATGGCTTTTATTTAAGTTCGTTCAGTGCCTCCGTTTGTACCATAACACACCAAAAAAAGGACAACTACCAAGTAGTATTTCAGTACAGTACCTTCATCATCAATCCACTTGAGGGTAATTGGCTGCTCCTGTTGCAGACTACACATCTCACGCACTTCATCACAAAGCTCATCATAGCTTATGGATGCATCCAAGTTAGTTATCAGGATGTCTCTGCATGACATGAAATCAAACTCTTGTCAGACTTATCTGTATAACACTGTGTGTTCCAACAATCCCATCTACGGATTTCAATCTGCAACACCACGCTACACAATCAGAATTCTTCATCTGAAATGCTGCCACTAACATACATGAGCAACAATAAATTGACAGAATGCAATGAGAAGCATACACGTTTCCCTTCTTCTGCTATCTATGTATACATCTATACTGCACGATGGTATGAAGGGTCACACCCAGAAACACACATACCTGCAGCCCTGGGACCTCAGAGACAGACTGAACATTGTGCTCTCTGTAACTTCCTCGTGCTTAGATTTATTGGATTTCTAAGTGATACCACCATTTACTATTGCTTCCTGTTGTTATATAACTGAACATACTACCAATTTCTATAAAGTTCTTTTAGCAGCCACCCAAATGAACTCAGACCTACTTCTGAAGTTGTTCAGCTTTGGGCTTGATGTGGAAGAGGCCACATCTCCACACTGCTCTAGAATTCTACACTCAGAACGCTGAGTTACTTGGCATTGACCTGGTAAGTAAATTCAACAAGAAAGCACCTCATTTTCAATTAAGTTTAGTGAAATTACTTTCATAATTACATTTAATTAGAAGCCCTTTCTTACACCACAGTATTAAAAACCACAGTGGCAACGTTTGCTTATTTGAGGAGGAAAACATCAGAGAAGATTACTGAGGCTACTGCTATCACGTGCCTGTAATTTCAAGCTAAACACTTCAAGTCTGAAGATTTACTTCAACCAAACATTTAACTCCTCAAATGACTTAAAACTTTGGCTTTAGAGAAAAACAAGGCAGATCAAAGCAACGTTAACTCACACGGTCCTCATAGTGGCAGTAAATCAATTAGGTTAAATCTGTCTGAAAAACCAAATTTCATGCTGAAGCAATAAGTAAGGCTTCCTGACTCTGTCAACAAGTGACTGAAGCCATAAGGACCATGACTTGATTTACTGTCTCAAATCAGAGCTGCCAAAATAAGCACTGCAGAGATAACGGAAGCAGCTGTGTGTTAACACCCCATTGCATTACCCAAACTGCTGGGAAGGGAAATAAGGGGAAGCAGATATCAAAAATAAAAAGCAGACTAACAGATAACATGCAAAAGTTTACTGCTGGTGTTTATCCACCACAGGAATACACATTTGCTTAATCTTCAGGTGTTTAATTTAGTACAAACAGATCCTCAAGCAGCTTGAAGAGGTTCATCTGACTCCACTGTTAGCATCAGAAGCAATTAAGATTAACTTTTCATATTTATCTAAATAATTCCAGTAACTTTACACCACTCACGCACGTTTTCCCCAATTCAAGGCCAATCTATCAGCTCCTTCCTCCAACCAACACACGGCAGGAATCTGGATGGTATTTTAATCACTCTACTTAATTACCAGACATAAACTACAGGACACCAGAGTTATTCTGTTACCAGATCAGACCGCAGACAGGAGTCAAAGTTTGGGAGGATACAACAGACAGAAAACACCCAGACTCACCCACTGTAGTGCGCCTTTACCCTGATGATGTCTTTGTTCAAATTGCCTTTCGAGCCCATCCTGCTGGGCATGGTCCGCGTTCAGCACACCGCCTGAGCTCACAGACGCTCTTTCAGCACACGAAGCTCTCGGTCCCGGAGCTCCGCAGGTGATGGCGCAGCTGTGCACAGCAGGCACGGTCAGCACAGCGGCAGCCCCGCACGCAAACGATGTGAAACGCTCCGAGCGCGGCGCTCACGCCAATTTGAGGCTATTTTTCTTCCCCCAGCCCGCTGCTCCGCACGCCGTTCTGACAGGAGGCAGCGCACACACGGAACAGCTTTCGGTTCACCTTCGCTTCCAATTTCCCCGATAAAAGCACGAAGAAAAGCTCTAACAGCCCCAATAAGTTTTCTCCGCCGCTTCAACCCCTTCGCCCCGAGTTCCCGCACGCTCCTCCCCCCCTTCCTCCTCACCCCCACCTGTTTACCACACAGCCCCGCCCTGTCGGGGCCCAACCAGGCGGGCTCTGCCGCCCGCCTCCTGTTGTTCGGAGCTCCCCGCGCCCTGCGGGCCCCCGGCCGCGGCCCGCCCCGCCCCACCGGGACCCGGCTCGCCCCGCCGCGGCCTGAAGTTGTGTAAAGTCCCGTCAGGAAGTTCGGAGCCAACTTTCACGCCTCGCCACCCACCCGGCTCACAGCTCCCGGGACGCGGCGGCAGTCGCTGCCTCACGGAGCGGCGCGCGGCAAAGCTCGCCCCGCGCTCCCCTCAGCCGCCCCGCCGCCCCCCCGCCCGCCGGCTCCAGTAGCAACGGCGCCACCGCGCCGAACATGGCGGACTAAGAGGACTAACCCCCACAGCCAATAGGATGCCTCCCGCTTTACCTGTCAGCCAATAGCGAGCTTCGGCTCACCTGGAGCCAATCCCCAAAAGGCTACCTTCTACCTACCGCCAATCGTAGGCCAGGAACCATTACCTGGGAGAGTAGTGGTTTCCCGACCAATCAAAAGCCAGGATAGAACCGAGAGCCGAACACCTGCAGCCAATCAAAGAAGCACGCGGCGGGCGTACCCCTCCCTGCGCTGAGGTGACGGGTATGGCGCAAAGGAGGCGGTAGGTGGCGATCTCTTCGCGGTGGAGCCGTCCCACCCAGCTCCCCTCGGGTACTGTGCCTCTGTAGCACCTCCGCGCTTCGAGCCGCGGCAGCGCTTGGCAGGAGGCGGGCTCAGACCGGTGAGAAGCAATGAGTGCGAGCGACACCGCGCCGGGAGGGCTATGAGCGCCTCCTGGGCGCCCTCACGGGGCACGGCGGGCAGCTCGGGCAGCCGCGGCTCAGAGCGTGAGGGGCGTGAGGGGAAGGGCGGGCGGCCGTCTGAGGGGAAGCGCGGGAGGCTGAGCTGAGCGGCGGGCAAGCGACGGCTCAGAAAGTACGACAGAGAAAGCAGGGTTCCATTCGCTGCTCTGGCACTTCGTGCTTCATTGCTGTTAATTTAACAGAGCATGCCTAGGATTAATTATGAGAGAGGAGGGCCTCCTTAATTTGCAGACTTTTAATGAGGCGTGTCGGGCGCAGGTTCGTTCAGGACATCCGGAGCGGCGGGTCCTGTGTTTAATTTCCCCTCCTTTTGCTCATCGCACCGGTGTTTCCGACAGGAACACGCGCAACACCCGCGTGCTTCCAGCAGGTGGCGCAAGGCCCCCAGGCAGCGCTCAGCCGAAGGCAGCTGAGCTGCGCGGAGCTGCGCTCTCCAGCGTTCTTCTAACCGTGGCTCCTTACAAATTCCAACAGAAAGATACAGCTGTGGTGTTTAGGTCTGATGATGGAGTTGCAGGACCTGCGGGTTTTTCTGTCTTTTCCTTGGTGAAATCGGTTCTTTCAGGTACAAAGTCTTTGTGTGAGCCGTACGAGATTAACAAAAAAAAAAAAAAAAAAGGTAAAAAAATCCAATCCTTCATCCTTTCAAATGTTTGAATTAAGACACCGTTATGACAAATAGTTCCTAAAAACCTTTTTTTTTGGCGGGGGGGGGAAGTACCTTTTGGTATGACTTTTACCTTAATATAAGGAGAAGATTGCTGTCCTGTTTTTACTTCAACTAGTGCCTCAAATCTTCAGATATTTTAGGACCGCCAACTTTCTGAGCTTTTAGGGATTTAGTAGGGATCAGAACTGATGGTTTCAGGCTATGAACAAAACAACAGGACAAGAGGACAGAAAGCTGCTATCTTCACACAGACGTGAAGTGTGAGTAATCAGTTCTGTGTCACTCAAGAATCAAAATGCACCTCCGCAGAATTTCTTCTTTAGCAAATCAAAGCAGCTGCGCCTGCAGACAGACAACAGGCTGCCTCCAGCCTACTGACTCTCTTCTTCCAAAGAAACAGCCAGGCTGTATTTTCTGTTGAAATTGATGGCAGTGGAATCATTGGATCCAGTAGGGGCAAGTATGGGCTAAATAACCCTGGGTTTGGATTAAAAAAATATTAGGGAAAACACCAATATATTTTAACATAAACTGGAAGAAGGCATATATCCTGCTTGACACCAGAAATCACTGTGGTTGTTCTTTATTGATTTTCTCACTTGTTGGTTAGCCTCTTAAAATAGACAAAATGAATGATTTTTCAAGGCTGCTTTAAGACAATCTCCTTACTTGTCTCTTTCATGCAAAATGGAAGCACCCAGAAGCTAACTCACTTATCTTGACCTGGAGTTTCAGGAAGGATTCTATGGGTAGACCAAGCTACATGCATTTAAAATAAATTAAACCAAACCTGTATGCTTCTATATTTATTTTTCCAAGATATTTCGACAGCCCGTCTCTGTGGAAACATATTTTTAACCTGTCTCCCTTTTGCGTGTGAACACCAGCAGACAGTGTACTGTAAATCTTTTTTCTCACTGCATACCCTGATCCTAATCCTTCAGAAACAAATTCCCCTTCTGGAAGGTGACAGTGAAAGTGTAGAAGAAAGGAAATGAGTGTTTCTGCCACTGAAGACTTGGAACTGTTGATTCAGAGCATGGAAGAAAATGATAAAAAAAAATTTAAATCAAAAAAACAAACCCTGGGGATCAAATTTTCACCTTGGTTCTTCTAGAGTCTTATTTTGTTTTGCTTTTCTTGGGCCAGACTAATTAAGCTTTTCTGAATTCTCATTGTTGGTCCAGCCACCATTCAGTTGGAATGAAAGGCGATCGCTCTTAATGCGGTGTATTCCACATCCTGAAAGTGTCTGATGAATCCCTCACTGAGAGTGCCCAGAAACACCACTGGAGGCAATCTAAACGTACTTGTAGCAGACTTGTTAAATGTTTGTTCTTTGTAAAGGAGAAGTTCACTTTAAAAGTATGATATGTGATATCGTGTACAAAATATATGAAGAATCCTTCTGGCTTCCAAATATTCAAGCTCATGTATGTGTATATATATTAGTTGTACATATAACCTGGAAAGATAAGGGCTGGGAAATCCTACGTAGGTATCTAAAAACTATGGTAGGATGTACAGAAATAGATCTTGTGTGTTTGTCTCACTCTGAAAGAAACAGCGACAAAGGAAGAACAGCCTGGATGGAGTGTTGTGCCAGATGTTTTACAGATTACTCTGTATTCCATCGTTCAATCTTTATTTAATCTTAGAGGACTGTGGTAATTCTAATTCTGGCATAACCCAGTGGACTATGTGTTTGTGTGCAGCTTCCAGCCATGTCTGTTCCCAGCTGGCCAATTATTCATTATATTGTAAAGAAAAATGTCCTCTTCACCCCATCTGGTTACCCGGTGCATGAAAATTGAGGACTTCATGATATTTATGCTAGCAAAGGTAATTCCAGTACTCTTTTCATCTCAGGAAAAGGTGAAGGTATGTAGGAGATCCATGACAGGCTTTATACCAAAAGATGGAGGCTGGACCTGTGGGCAGAGAAGTCTTTGCTTCAATAGCATTAGTCACTGCTGTGCGTTGGTTGGTCCTACATCTGCAGCGACCAGAAGTTTTTAGATACCTGAGAGATCAGGAACGTTTGGAGCTCTTTTTTTGGACCACCGTTTTGCTGAACAGGGAACTCCAGTAACATCTGATCAGCTCTGTTGGTGCTGTGTTTTCTGACAGAGCGCACTTTGCTGTCTGCTCGGATTTGTTTTTAACTGTGCATGACTTAGTAAAAGGAATAGCCATGACATAAAGCTTGTATAAGGAGAGGACAGATCCTTAATGCATTATGTAACCATGAGCTTAGGTCTTCAAAGTCTTTTCATTTAAGACACAAGCTACAACAGCAGAAAGAGGCAGTGGCTTGCATTTCAGCTGCCAAATTTTTCCAAATAGATACACATCCATTGCCAGAATTGTTCAGTCTTATTAGGAAGAGCTAGCTAGGTGTGCTTGTAACACGTTGCACACAGTGTTACTGTATCATCAAACAACCTTTGCAAGTGTTTTAAGCCTTACAACCAAGAGAGCGCAGGGGAGACCGAGGTTTTTATTTTAATAAATATCCTACGAAACTTTCATTAATCATTTGTTATCTGTTCTGCTGCACAGGCAGATCCGCACGGGGTGCTGTTTTCCTCTTAATGTGAAGTGCTTTCTTAGGTTAATGACTGAATATTTAAAATGAGAGTGTTCATATTAAGTGCTTTGTTGTACCAACAGCAGAAGCCTCATTGAGTTAAATTGGTTTCGCTACATTATCTGTTGGATTAGGAACCCTGTTAAGAACTGATGTGAGAGCTTTTACTTTACCTTGAATAAATGCTTCCTTCTTGCCCAGAAACAGGACAGGCTTATCTGTATATTAACCTTTTAACAGTGCTGTCACTGCAAGCATGTCTTTCAAACTAATGGTGCAACGCCTTGTTCTTCTTGTGCCTTGTTTCTTTTCAACCTCTTTAGGTAGCAACAGCTATTTTTTAATATAAATTCAGTAGTCTGCAGAAGAGCCCCACAGAAAGCACTCATGAGTACAGAATGGTCCTTTCTCTTCTGTTGTCGAGGCCAAATGAGAGTTTTATGAGCCTCTGGGTGCTGAAAAGGCAAGACTTCATTATGGGATGAAATCCCTGAGGTTATTTTGATTTTCCTTGTAATGTCTTTTATCTTTCGGTTCAGTAGCTGGAATGTCTGCTTTGTCCATTTTATGGGAGCTACAACTTCTGTACAAACTATGCTTTATTCACACTTCACATTGAGAATGATTACATTAATACGTATCCCTCTTTCCTTCTCACAGACACACCAGGATTTTAGAGCAGTACTCTACTTTGATGAAAGGAATACAAATTCTTCCAGGTACAGCCCTCATATATATATTATATATGTATTTCCTTCCTGATATTAGCACAACCCATCCAAAGCTTGCTAGCTTTCCAGTGACATCAGATTTAGCTTATTTATTTCTGTTTATTAAGTGTGCCATAAAAATAGAGTTGATTAGGGCATTGTCCTCAGATATTAATAATATATAATGGTTTTCAAATGTGAAAAAAAAAATCAAAAATGTGGAACAATCTCAAATGTACAGAAGCTTCAGTTTTATTCAAAATTCCAATAATGACACAGTACTCCTGTACTAACATCCCTCCTGTAAAAGAATCTGGAAGGCATCTGTTTTATTTCTGGCTGTGGAAACACATTTCAAAAACTGTAACTTCACAATGGAGTTGTTCTGCCTTGTGCTGCTCTGCAACTGCAGCAGCAGGGACGCCTGTTCTCCCCTCTGAGTCACCTCATTCCTGGAGTGGACACAGCTGCCACATGTATTCTCACATTCTGACTTCCTGAAATATCCTGAGGTTTCCCCCTCCTTTTTTTTTATGCTTTTTTATGTGACAGCCTAGCATTCTGGTTTTGGTTTTGGTGTTCTTTGTTTTGTTTTGTCCTGGGTGGTGGTTTTGGTGGTTTTTGTTGTTAGGTTTGTGGGTTTTTTTGAGGGAAAGACCGTAGCCACCCTTTACCTTGATCAGTCACAAATAGCTGTGCAGCTTGAAGGTCTGCAAACAAATACAGAACAATGCATTGAATAAACCTTATGAAGAAGCCAGCAGGGTGTGCAGCCAGTGACTGGCACCCAGGTGGAGAAGCAGCTAATTTTGTCCAATAACCCTCTGTGATCACCTCAGTTGACTTCAGGGTAAGGACTTGTGTCAGGTGCACAACTGCAGACTCTTACTGCTGAAGTAATTAGATTAGACATTGCCTTTAGAATGTATGCAGCCACTTTCTCACTAATTACCCTGAATAACCAGCTGCTGTACACTTTGAGTGCACGTATCTAGTTGGAGCCTGACAGTTTCTGTGTCTCTCAAAAGGATTTTGCTTCTGTAGATCTCAAAGGCTTAGTAAAGAAATCAGTATAATTATACCCGTCTTGCAGATGATGCAATGAAATGACTCCAGGAAGGTTCATCCTCACATCAGTGGCAAGAACTTAGTGCAAAATCCAGGTGTCTCAGTCCAGGGCCAGACTGATGAGAACTTTCTGGAAAAAACATAGCTGGGTGATGGTTTGCACCTTCCAGCACATGGCTGAAAATGTTTCCAGTAGAACAGAAATAATCCACGTGATCCTCAGCCTGACTTACGATGGGATCATAGTTCATATCATAGCTCACTTCAGGATCATTAATTTTTCTTCAGTGCATTCTCTTACTTAGCTGATATTGAGCAAATCTCTTTTGAAGTCATAAATTTGCCTTAAAATGCTCTTTCAGTTCTGGTCATATGAAATTGAGCCGTGTGTCACAGATAGGTAAGGTGGGAGGGATACGTGAGCCAATGCTTGTTTCCTCCTCCTTGCAATTCCATCAGCCATGCCCATCTTCCAAGCCCAGCACTGCTCTTCTCTCATTTACATCTTGTGTCCTATTTCATCTTGCACCTCCCCATGCTCCCTTCCACAGCTTTCAGCCATCTCCTTAGCCTCACTCATTCCCTCCTTCTCTCATGTAATATTTTCTGTTGCATCTTCTTTCTCTAGGTTTGGAACAACCTTATCTTTCAAGGCACCAGAATCCCCCCAAAAAGGAAGAAAAAAAAAATCCCAAAAAGTGCCTTAAATACTTCTGTTGTTTTAATCTATATCCCAATCTATTTACTGTGCTTTTTTGATAGAGATTAACTATGAAACTTGTATTTGCTGTGAATACTGCCTTCATTTGCCGGATCCCTGGAGTTACTCACAGAACAAAGTGTTATTTGTATGAGCATGGTGGGAGGATCCAGTCTTGAGTTGAGCGTGTGTCTGAGTTCTCATACATTTCACTGTCAAACAGGGAAGTGAAGAAGCCTAACATTATGTCAGCCATAGAATAAAAACTGCAAAAATATCCAAAGCGACCGAATGACTTAAAGCCATTTATGACACCTTTGAACTTCGCTCAGCTATTTCGTGCCAGGTGCAACAAGGAGATTTTCAGAGGCACGTAGGGCAGACTGCCACTGAAACTCATATAGGAAATTCTAAAATCCTTCCTGAAAATGGAGTTTGAGTTCCTTCATTACCAAGCTCCTCTGAAATTGTTAGTGATCCAATGCAGAAAGGCTGAGCTTTCCCTGTTTCTGAACCACTTTTGCCTGTGCTGGGGCCCACTGAAGTACCAAAGGTTACTATGCTCGAGTGTTAAATCTTTCATTAGCTTAGATCTGAAATGTAATGCTGTCATTATTAACAATTCAGTAGAACTCCATGTAGTGTATTTTATTTCATGCTGTGACTAAGAGCACTGAAATGTTTTCAATACTTTATCTAAGACAAAGGAAAATTCAATAAACCCCCACTCGCTTCTATTTTTACTTTTACCATGGGATTTTTGTGATTAAAATTGCCAACTTTGCCACTTGCATTGAAGTTAGACCATTCCACAGAAAATCACTTGTGTGGAAGCTGGGAATTAGCTGTTCCACTATGAAAAACGAAATGCTCTGAGCATGAGAGGCTAAACCTTCATTACTTACCAATGCTTCAGGTGGAGAAAGAACATGGTAGTTCAAGACTTAAACTTCTGCTGTTATGTACATATGAAATGTTTTCTCATGGTAAGAGAGGAAACAAAAGGAGCTGGGATTGTTGAGCAGAGTACAGTCCTTAATGTATCAAATCAGATTGGTAACAAACTGTTTTTCTTGCTGCTTTAGTAGGAATTGATTGCAGGAGTTTCTTGACTAGAAATGCCTCAAGGTCACTGGAAAATATTTTGAGAAGAGATGGCACAGTACAGTTTCAGCAAGGACTGTTTAGTGTGTAGGTACTGTTCAATTCTTGGCTCTTCACAAAGTTCTGGGCTTTTTACATAGTGTAGGCAACCCAGTATATAACATTGACTGCTGCAAAGGCTGCTGGGAACACTGCTCTGGCATATATATCGATGGTGTCAGCATCAATGGGCTTAAAGAGGGATTTCAGACCACTCTTTTTATCCAGTTTCATCTCTTGCTGCCGTTTAGTCTCTCCAGTCTCTATTTCTATTGTGCCATATGATCCAGGCAGACTTCTGGGCATTCGGTGGTGCCTGTTGGAAATGGCCAGCTCCTGGTTCACACCAGCGATGGAGAGGGAGAACAGAACAATGGCATTCTTCACGTTTATCTGCAAAGGAAAGAGGAAAATATATAACAGCAATTTATAGCAATTTGTACTTCATCCAAACTATCTGTGATGCTGACATGGTGAAATATATGCGAGAGTGATAAATGGTATTTATTGTTTGCTTTGGCAAACAATAGAAAGGCCTCTGAAAGCTTCTGTGCTACCACATCTGAGCTCTAAATATGTTTCTGAAGTACAAGTCTTGAGACAGACTTTACATCTCTTCTTATTTGTTCTCCTTTATTCTCTATTTCCCATCTTAAATACAGCAACCAATCATGCAAGGCTGTGTTGCAGTCGTAGTGCTAACTGAGCACTGACAATTACATTCAATTGTTTGCTATAATAACAAAAGTATCAGAGAATTGGAAAGGGTGTTAGATAATGTAATGTAGGCTCTGTTTTCCCATGAAGAGCTGCACCTGATGGCCCTTCAAGGTCCATTCCAACCTGGGCTGTTCTATAATAGCATTTCTATAAAAAGAATTTACTTCCATAAGGAGAAAACTTTGCAATGCAGAGCCATTGCTTTTGCAAATCTTTTCACACTACTTGGCTTACTGACCTCTCCACTCTGCCTTCTCGCTTTGATCTTGTTCTTCTGCTTTTTCATGTAGTCAGCATTGAAATGTGCAAAAGCGTATTCTACCAGTGCAGCGAAGACAAACACGTAGCATATCCAGAAGTAAACATCAAGTGCCTTGATGGCAGATGCTCGTGGAAGCGAAGAGCGGGCACTGACCATCAGTGTAGTCATTGTAAGAACAGTGGTTATGCCTGCAGCGTGGTATGAGAAAGCTCCTTTAGGTCTCATAACACACCTTCATGAGCGCGTTTACCAATCTGAAACTGAGGAATACTTTTCACAGCAGAAGACCCTTAATAGTATGGTTTCTGTTTTTCCAAATGGGATTTAAAGAAATTGTAAGGACGTACATTTGCATGACTAAGGCAGCTTTGAACATCTTATCTTTGGTTTTCTTCTAGTTCTGGATTAAAACCAGAAGACTTACACTCAAAAACTTTTGGGTCTGGACTTGCAGCCCTTACTCAGGCAAGCAGACTAACAAGCTTTAGGAGCATCTTTTTGTCATGGTTTCAGTTTCTCCAGATCAGTTCTTTTATAGGACTGCCTCACCTTCGCTATTGCTTTTAGCCATCTTTAGTGGCCCGTGTTCTTTATTGAGGTAACTGTTTTGATAGCATGGCAGAAATTAAAGCAGGCAGGAAATATTTTAAAGGACACTCTCTTCCGCACACTTAAACACAGTATTCATAAATGCATCTGAATGGAAAACAAGACATTAGAGAGCATAGTTACACCATCAACATACCCTTTCCTGTTAGATCCCCGTTCTGTCCGTCTTACCTAAGGACACCCTGGCAGGCACAGCTGACTGGCTGATCCAGAAGGACACCCAGGACATGGCCACGAGCAAGATAGAAGGGACGTAGGACTGAATGATGTAAACACCTCGATTTCGTCGGAGGTGGAAGTGGAGACTCAGCCTGGGAAACTGCCCTGCTGACAGAAAGTGAGCTGCAGCTCAACTGATAGGCAGAAGAACATTTCCTACAGAGATGCAGATTTATGTTCTCAAACAACATTCTTTTGGCCAGGGATCACAACAAGCTTTCATGAATCTTTTTTGATTAGTCCTCATAAACTCTGCATGAGGGTTTATGCAGTTCTCATCAGCACAGTTAGCTAAGAATAGGTCAAATGATTTGTCTCAGGTCATATCAATGCCAGATCTGAAAATAAAATCATGAGTCTTCTCAAATAACAGTATTGCTTCAAAATGTGTACTGTCTTATCATCTGCTGTAGAAAGTCCTCCAGATACTAAATTTAGATTTTTTAAAAGGCCAAGTTAATTTCAAACTCAAAAAAGAGCTTAGAGGAGATGTGCAGCATAAATGAGGATCTGAGTACATGAAAGAGGATGAAAAATCAGCAGGAAAAAAATGACTCCAATCTTTTACAAACATTGCAATAAAGCCAGTGATGTACGTACACACCACTGACTTCTACTGGGTGGAATTAGAATGATTTGACTGTACGTCATAAGCCTCGTAACATGAGGTCTAATGGAAATTTTCCTTATCCAAAGTTGCAAATTAGGTCAGGAAAATTTGAGTTATACCTTATCAAGCACTGTCTGACTATTCCACACAGTATTTTCTCAAGCATATAGAGCTGAAGAACATAATATGCTATAGTGACTACCTGAAAGCAAAAGGTTACCATTTTTTGCAAACATGAGCTACAGAAAATTCATGTTAGAAACCTGACAGATTGTTTAAATTAGTTACTGAGGAGGAGGGATTCTCTATTATAGAAATAGATTTTCCTGTATGAAAAGAATAACAGATACTGTCCCTGAATTGAAGACAGATCCTGTTACCAGATTTGAAGTTCATCAGTTCTGTTGTAAACTGGTAGTTAGTAATTGTGAATTGAGCAAGCTGCAGCTTATCCAGCCCATGGATCTCATCCTGGTTTTCTGACCAGTGGTAGACGATGTCCTCTGAAGAGTAACCATCTGCCAAAAGAAAGCAGATTAAATGCAAAGCATGGGGAAGAAATTAAGAACCCAGAGGGCTCACTGGGGAAGTGCTGTAATTCCTCTGCTACACTGATTTTCATTGGTCCCATTGCAAACATGCTGTGATTCACTCCAGATAATTCACTATCCTGGCAACATCAGTGTTTCCAGGATCCCATCAGGGGTGGCTTTCCTACAGGGAGAATAATCCGAGTTGATTTGCACTGACTAACAGTATGTGGTATGGCACAGTGCACTTCAGTGTCATGAGAAATGCCCATGTGCCTGCTCACAGGAGCAGAATAACTGCTGTTGTAGTGCTCAAACGAGGCTACCTGCTCCAGTTAGAGAACAGCAGCACAGCACAGACCCGTGTCCATCCTCAAATCAAGTCACTAGCTTCACAATCACCATGTATATCAGGCTATTAATTGCTGTAGTTTGGCATGGGTGCCAGCTGGAAGAGGCACAGGGTACCAGGGTAGGAGAGAAGGATGGGAGATGCATGAATGAATTTATGTAACATGCAAATCCGTAGGAAATCAATCTTTGCTGGTGTTGTTGTTAATGCACAACTTGCTGCAAAACCACCTTGTTTCTTTAAGGAGTCTTGCTTCTTACTTGTTTGTTGCACTGACATCAAAATCCTCAAATTCAATTAGAAAAACTCAACCACCACCAAAATTCCCTGCAGAAGGAAAGAACTGATTGCTGGTTCAGTGTCTGCTGCCTCTACAGTTGGTGATTACATAAGTAAAACTGTAGATTGCTATTTTTGACAGGATAAAATGGTATTGTGGTTAATTGCCTAGAAAACAAAGTCAGGGCTAAAAAATGAAAAACAGAATCTTAAATCAATAGGGCAAATGAATCTTAATGTATATATGAATAAATGAATCTTAAATCAATGGGGCAGTGCTTCTGCTTAGAAACCACTACTCATATACCTAGAGCCCCGAGCTCCTCTAGGTTTCAAAAATATGCATTCATTCTTCACTCACCTTTTTGAGCACAAATGAATTTAAGCCATTCTCTGAAATGTTCTGATTGATTTTTGTGTAACAGATGGCTATGCAAAGGTTAGGCACAATCACATTCATTAAAAATAGGGAAATCTTTCTTTTTCCTGTGTTTTTGGGGGTTTTTGTAGTCATTTTTCACAAAGCAAAAATAGCACACCAAATTTTGCCCATGGGCTTCTTTACATCTTGCTGGACTTGATGGAAACCTCAGTAATGCTAATGAAAAGACTGTCACAGTGCCACTAGGCTTTACATAAAACACAAAGTTCTGGGCATTTGTTTTCAGCAGGACTGCAGGTTGTTCAGCTTCACTGAATTAAATCCCACATCTTTAAACTGGAGCTGAACGAGTCCATCTCTGGCACATAGAGTAAGGGATGTGTTTTGTACCCTTTCTTTCTAAACGCATTACATTTCACTGATTAAAGCAGAATCACTCCAGCGAGTTCCCTCAAGCTAAGAACCATACATGCAGGCTTCAAGCAAAATACAGGTTAGATGAAGTGCTGCACTCAGCCCTTACAGCTCTCCAAGTCCAACATGCATTCCTGCTCATCCATCGGGTACTTGGAGAGGTCCATGTCACATGCCACTGTTGAGGTAATCCTGTCCAAAGCAAAATGAACACCAGTTAGTGGCGTGCAGACAGAGCTGTGGACTTGCATTTTCCTCGGAATTCAGAGACTGAATGGAAAGTGTTGAAAACTTAACATTACAAGAGACATAACACTAACATAACATTAACAAGAGAAAAACATTTTCTTTGATTTAAATTAATAATTATTTTAAGAAATTTTCCAGGGGAAAAAAAAAAAAGAGCGGTTACTTTTATGGTCTGTTCAGCAGGTGAACACATGGCAGAGGACAGTGACCCCCCGCCCTGCTTACCTTATGCTGTATAAGATGACTCCATCTGGCTGGAGCCTGATCAGTTTGTTTTCCACAGTCACGTCATGGAACCAGGCAGACTTGGCGTTCACTATGAAAGTATCTGGCAACCACAGCTTGTCCACAAAGCGGCTGTCCAGCCCCAGGGTCTCATTGGTGTGGTTGTAGGACAGGCGGTCGTCCCGCCAGCTCTGGTGCAGAAATACTGTCATGGTGTATTCCTGTGACAGGGAAATCCCAGTTAGCAAGAGACGCTAAACAAAGAGGGTAAAGCCTCAGGACTTGGTCAAAAATAACTGAATTGGTTTAGAAATGTCCCCTGTGCACACAGGTATTTTTATCCTCTGCCGTAGAACTGTCCGTGCGTTTTAATTTGTCGTATGCTTTTACCTTGGGTGGTCCCAAGGTATCAAAGAATTACTCAGAGTCAGTGGTACAGATACATGTCAGGGGAATTGCATCTGTTGTGCTGGGGAAAGCTGTTCAGTTATCTCTGGAAGCACTGCCTTTGGTTTTGGAGGATTTTTGTAGCAAAACTAAAAAAAAAAAATCAGGTGAAGTTTTATTGGTAGTAATGGGAAAGGATGGAGGGAAAGTTCTGGATTTCAAATTCAATCTGTTGTGTTTCAGGAATGCAATTAATTCATACAATGGTTGGTTGTGAGATTTCTAAGTTGTTATATTCCATTGCTTTACTGAAAGGTCTTCATGTGGAAAGGAGGCACATCTCACAACCAATGCTCCCCTTGGCTTTTCGAGGGAAGTTTGTGTGGTGAGAAGGAATGTGAACAGCAGTTGGAGCTGAGGCTTAAAATCAGGCTGTTAGTGTGCAGAAGTCTCAGTGACTTACACCTATCTAGAGTCTTTTCCTTGCCAACTTCTGCCCAAACAGAATCTGCCTGTGTCTTAAGATGCAAAGTTTGTTCTCTGTGGTATCTTCTGACAGTCTTTCCACTCCAGACACACAAAGGATCACCTGTCTCTATTTCACCTTCTGCACCTGCTGTCACTGCACTGCAGACATTCCCAACTAAGTGTAACCCAACGTACCATGTTCACTTCTGAGATGTGGTCAATGCTGGCTACTTCAATTGCAAGAGCAACGTTAACAGGAGGACCTGAGAAAACAAGTTTGAATGACATGATTTACATCATAGCAAGATGAGTATGGAGATGACCAAAGGCTGTTGACTTTTGTATCAGTGATAAAATCAATCAGTGATAAAGGAAATGAAATTCAGTCACAACTACTGAAACTTATGTGATCTCTCCCAGAAAACATGACATCTTGTTTCAGACGCTGTGTCTTCAAGCAAACAGAAATTACTGCCACAATGTGAGCCAAAATGACTTCAATTTAGGTATCAGTGGTTTAAGAACTGTAGCAGCAAGAAGGCTGCAGTGCTAATTTGTGTTTCAAATGGCAAAATAAACACATTGTTTGCTACTGTTTCCAGAATCCAAGTATAAGATTAACACAACTCTTGAATCAGAGGATGAAGTTCAGAGAAACATCAGAGGATAAAATAATCGTAAGAAATAAAAGGCATAACTCTCAGTTTCTCACCTCCAATCCCAGGCCTGAAATTACGTGCGTAGCCTTTCATCAGATCATCCAGGTTGGGTAACCAGGATATTTCGATGTTGGAGCCTATGTAATCTCCAATGTCAGTCATAGCTCTAGGTAAAGAGAATTGGAATCTTTTAAAACTTGCCCACATTTACAGACATGAAAATAACAGCAAATGGAGACATTGTCCTCTTCTACTCCCTGACCACAGGCAGTCAAACCAGTAAGCATGAGAGGCACTTCAGAAGAGCAGTGTTGTTTATGGTAGAAGAGCATTTCAGATTTTTCTGTTTAAATCAAAACCTATTCCAGGAAATCCTGTGGCTCCTGTCTGCAATAAAAGTAGTTACTTTCAAAAGTATTTTTTTTTCTTGAAGAGAAGAGTTTTAGAAATGCAAGGAAAGCATAAGGAAAACCAGGATAGTTTGTATACTGCATGAAATGCAGCTATCTGGGTAGCTGGATTGAGTGGAGAAAGTAAGGACTGAGGAAGGATGGATCTTTTCAAATGTGATGAGAAAAAGTGTAAAAACTTCTGAACTGGAATTTGGATTGAACATCTTTGATGCTGTGAAAAGCGCTCAGGTAGTGAAAAAGCAATGCTAAGTAGAAGGTGTGTGGATACCTGTGTGATGCACAGACATGGACTAAAAGGAATTTCAAAAGTGAAAACAGCGAACCATTGAAATGCATCCCTGCAGTCTTAAGAAATGCTGTAGATATTCCATAATCTCTTACAAACAAGGCAAGCTCAAATTCTCTTCGAAACTGAGCTGGCAGGCTTCATTTGCAGCAGATCTGCGCCTGCTCACATAATCCCTCTTGCCAGTGCTGTGATCGACACAGAAGGAATAGATAAACAGAGGACTGTGACAACGTCTGCCACAACTGTTTGCAAAGAATTGCCAGTGGCTGGGAGAGGCATCTGAGTGCAGGTACTGAATCAGAGCTGTTTGAGCACTGTTTGAGCATCTCCACCTGAGGCCAGCAGTAAATTTGAGAGATCCATGTCACCAGTAACAGAGGAGAAGCTTGTTAAACATCGACGAAAGACTGCAGAGTAATACAGCATAAGTATATTCTGCCTTGTACTTACATAATTTTCTTAGAGTGTTCATGTGACATTGACCCAAATAAAGCACGTGCTTTTTCTCTCCAAAAGTCCGGGCGCTCAGCTCTGCAGTGCCATTACTTCTAGCTCTTCTGAGTAAGGATCAGAGCCATATAATTTGGAATAAAATTTAAACAAAGGCTTTGAAGATTTGTAATAGAGGGGGTCATGTTTCTTCTGTTCTGTATCACATCTCACCAACCACATAAATGCTTCTTTTCACATTAGGTACACGGGTGCACCCCCAGATAACTGATCTATGCTCAGTCACTTGCTATGAGGTAATGGCATCCTAAGGACTGCCAGGAGCCTCGTCTTTTTTATTCAAAAAGCATTTACAGTGTGCAGCAATTACCCTGTGTCAGTATTCTCTTGTAATGGCATTTTGGAGAGTCAGAAAGCTAAAAGGAAGTTAAAATGACAGAGTTGGGTTAAAAAACTGTGGGCCATAGCTTGCAGTGTTTTAAGCAGATTACTATCTAGAGGGAGTTTTACTTAAATATCCATGACACAATTAAAAAGAATCTGGTTTCTATTATTAATAAAGCCTTAAGGTCAGATCAGTGTAACAAATCTGTTGAATTTAGTAGAGCTATATGCACTTAAACCAGTGGGAGTCACAGAAGTGTTACAGAAGTTACAGAAGTGTTTACCCAGATCCAGTGCTTTAAAGTGACAAGAAGGATGGTGGGAGAATTTCATTCATCATTCACAAGCAGTGGGGATTACATATGGCCTTGAATATCGTTCATGTTTTTTACCTGAAGAAGGAAGTCCAGCTAGAAGATATTCTTTGGAAGGGATTAACTTTTTGTAACGTAAGCAGTAAGGATTAAAAGGAAGGAAACCACTAATAGTGGAATTAGCAAATTTGCGTCCTAATGTAGGCTGCTGTCAAACTTGTTTTAGTAAGAAAAGGAATTTGTAAAAGTGAGCTGTTGGCTTGTAAAATCCACGGGATGTAACAGCTCAACAAACTTATCTTTACGTTGCACCAGGGCAGAGCTGGATCCCAGGTGGCTGCACAGCATTCTCATGTGTACTGAAGGCACTCGGGAAGGCATTCTCAGATCTGGAGCTGAGGGAGATGGTTGTTATCTCAACTCTTTCGACACATCTCATTTCAAGCAGGGAATATATTTTCATCCGTACAAATGTGGGGTTTCAGCACTGTGAGAAGTTCCACAGAGCTGGTTGTTAACAGCAGAAAAAAATTAGTTCCTTATATAGTAGGCAAAGGAGAGAGGAAATCACTACTGGTAGACCTGGAAATACTGCAAAGTTCTTCTTTGCCTAACAAAATTGTCCTTGTCACAGGTTGGGAAAGCAGCTCTAAGCAGCAGATCTCAAACGAGCAGAGAAACTCATCTCCTTTAAAGCTAAGTATTCTCTGTTTAGAATCAAAATACATATATACTAGAATCCTTCTTTTTGAAGCTGACATCTATCTCCCAGCTGCTATGGGACTGAGATATTCTATTCATCTGGACTGAGCTGGAGAAGCATCAGTCAACTTGGACAGCGTGTCTTGTTAGAGGCTTCAGGCAAGTGAGATATTAGCCTGTCTTCACTGCCTTCTGGAACACGGCTTGAAAATGGTTGCTAGATATTTATCAACTTTACTAGAAAAAATCAGGACTTAAACTGAACAAAGGAAAGAGGCAACCTGTATATTCTGTGTGAATAAGTGCATTACAATGGCTCAGTAAGATACAACATTAGTAATACTGCTTTTGCACAGCAGTGCCAGTAGCTCTAGCAGCAGTGCAGAAAGCTCAGCAGCATCTCTGCTTGTGGCCAACAAGATACTCATCTCAGATCACACTTGCAGGGACAGTGCTGTAACCTTGTGGCAAAGACATACTGCAGTGGGATGAGGAAAATCACTTTTTGCATCTCCCACTGCTTCTTTAAGCCTGCTATCCTGACTGATTCCACCTGGGACAGTGGCACAGTCACTATGATCTGAAAGATCTTATGATTTGAAAGATGTAAATATCAGTTTGGCTGATAGTAAGGACTGGGGTGGAGTGTATCTCCTTTTCTGTGAGATAATCTTCTGGGGCACGTGGCCCTGATGTCACCACCACTCAAGAAAACTTCTTTCTTGAGAAAAAGACAAGGAATCTCCAGCAAGGTCAGCAAACAGTCTGGCTTCTGTCAAGCTCCAGGATTATCCAGGGCACCGTGTGTATCCTTCCCATCTGCCATTCCTGACTCTAAGTGAGGCTCGCTGTAAATATGTTCTGTATTTTGAAATGTAATTGAAAAGGCATTAGGCTTAATTCACGGCAACCTCTGAACATCAAAGCTCCATCAAAGCGCTAAAACTCTGTGAGTTTTAAGCGACAGAAAACAGACTGCTCTGCATGCATTCACGTGATACAGCTCCTCCATTTCCATGACTGGAAGTAAAAGACTGAGGAGGTTACCCTGCAGGAGAACAACTGTATGCAAACATATAAAAGCCATTTAATATTGTAGGATCCTAAATATGAAAGACACACCTATTTTTAATTAGAGATTCATTATGAGGCTTCTATTATTGCAGCATACCAAGCTCTGATAAAACAGCCTTTCCCCACAGAGCTGGCAATCAGAAATGCCAAATTTCTTGCCACTTGTCACGCCTCAAGCAGACCCAAAATCTTTTCCAAAAACGTTCACCTGCAAACAGCACTGGCATAAGGAGAATGTGCTGACTGAGGTTGAATCAGGCTCATTCAAAAAGCACAAGACAGAATTGCTCCAAATGCAGCTCTGTTAAGCACTCTCACAGGGTACTCAAACACAGGAAGCAGGCTGTGTGCGTTCCCCTCTCCTCTGCCAAACCTCAGCATCCCTTTAACAGGTAGCTCTGCCTTTGGGAACATCTCATGTGGTGCCACCACGTTCAGAATTCTCTGAGATTCCTCTTCTCTTGCTCTGTGCTCCCAGCTGTGCAGCTGCCCATCGCACAGGGAATTCCGCGCCTTTGGACGTCCTCTGTCACCAGAACCATGAATCAAATCACGCTTAGTCAACAAAATCAGAGCAGTAAAAATGTATCTTTGATAGCACAGCCTGTTATTATAAAACCACGGTATCAGTAAGGCACTGCTCCCTGTAAAACCAATAAATCATATGCCGGGACTCCAATAAGGAAAAATAAGGAAGTTAATGTGCTGCTTGGGCTCCTCCAAGAATTATTATTTCGTGCATCAAAAGCCGCCTATGTGAGTAATTTTAGTGATGCAAAGGTAAAAATCTGTTTTAATCCCATGTAATAAACTCATCAAAAGGACACTTGCAAGCAAGATTACTTGCTATAGGATTAAAGAAGGTTCTGCCATAGCCGTGCTAAACCCTGAATCATCAGAAAACTGCTGTACTGAACAGAGCAGCTTTCTTTGAATATTGAATGTCTTACACTTGGGCATATTTGGAAAACTACTGCAAACTGAACAGCTCGAAATTCGAAAGCTAGACTTTGCCTTCCTGTGCTCTGTGCCATGAGTCTGTATATTGCTAACAAACAACATCACTGTGGAACTGCAGGAAGAAAACCAAGAAACAGGCAATTAACTCAGCATAATTTATCTAAAAAATTACAGGTTGCACATATCCTGGCAGTTACTGTGCCTGGAAACAGATCACGAAGACAGAAGCTGAGAAGACTGACTGCTTCTTTTTTTTTTTTAATATCCAAACACTACTTTTCAACAGAAATCCTCAGTCCTTGTCCGAGTTCAGACAGTTTGGGATCACTGAAATGACAGGCCAGATCTCCATGCCTTTTGGTCATAAGAAATCTTCTCTGCCTCTGGCACCACATTGCTGGCTGCACGGAGGTTTGGAGGCATGGCCAAGGTCGTGGGATGCACCACTGTGTCAGCCCTGGACAAGGGCAGCTGACACTTCCTCTGATGTGAGGTCCCTTTCCTTCCCAATGGAGAATGATAAGATCTCGCTAATTAATCCCAAAGGCCATGACTGCATCGTTAGTTCGTACACCGCTCTGAAGTTATTAACAATGTCTACGATACAGAAGTGGGAAGACCCCTTAAATATCACAGCCACGCGTGCTCTGGGTGATGTAGGCATGTTTTTGCATGCAGCAAGTCCTTTTTAACTCCCCCTCTGCTTTCATTGCATAATCCGGCAAGCTTTTTCCAAATCCAGCCTCCAGATCAGAGAATATATAGAGAACATAGCTGGTTGCCTAGCTAACACCTTCTGACTGACTGCGACTGCGAATCGCAAACATTCAGCTTTGCAATTTATTATTTAAAAAAACGGCGTTCCTCAAACTTTTCCTGAGCTGCTCACCAGCCCCATCCCTTCCCCCGGAGCCCGCAGGAGCGCTGACCGCCGTCCCGGCCGCAGCCCCGCTGTGCGCGCCGCGCTCCGAACGGCTGCTGGGGCGCTCGGGGCTGCACCGCGCGGTGCGGAGCCGTCGCCAAAAGGATCGCCCGTAATTTAGAGCGCGTGCCGCCAGCAGAACTCTTCCCCAAGCGTCCCGTTCGAAGCACGCCCCACCGTTAACCCAACAAACCGCTGCTCGGCCGCCCCGCGTCCTCCCGTCCGTGCCGCCCCGTTCCCGCTGTGCGCCGCAGCCCCGGGGCAGCAAAGGAGGGAATGGGAAGGGATTACCTGATGCACCTGTGCTGCTGGGTGCACAGCAGGACCAAGGCAGGAAAAACCCAGGTGAGAAATTCCATTTTACTCCCACGTATTAGACCGCGGCGCACAAAACCGAGGCTCCCCGGCTCCTTGGGCAGCTCCGAAGCTCCGCCGGTGTTGCCATCCTTCCTGCGGCAAGTTGAGGCTCAGTTTCAGCGCCGTATCGCCGCCGGGCAGCGTTGACAGCCCCCGCCGTCTCGTCGCTCCGCTCCGCTGCGCTCCCGTGTCCCGCTCGGTGCCGCCCGGCCCGGGGCCGCCCTGCCGGTTCCGTCCCGCCCGGGAGATCCGGATGGGGGCAGCGGGATCGGCTCAGCAGCGCCGCGCTCCTCCTCCGCCTGGCCGCTCAGCGGGCTGCCGAAAATAGCCCCTGCAATTACAGCTCCATCCCACCCAGCGCGGGAGAAAGAGAACTAAAAGTGCTGCCGAGGCTGCGGGCATGTCCCGTGCAAATCGCTGCCGGGAGGAGAACGAGGAGCCCGGGCTGCACGCGGGATGGAGGTTGCGGTAGAGCCGCCCCCGCCGCCGCCCCCTCGGCCGCGCTGAGCTGCAGCTCCGGCCCTTTCCCCGCGGAGCTGCGCGGATTGCGGGTGGGAGCTGCGCCCGGGACGGGAGAAGCCGCGATCTCTGCGCTCTTTGAAAGCCGTCCCCGACCGCAGGTGCGACGCCGAAAGCGGCGGAGCCCAGGCTGTGCGAACTTCTGCCTCAGCGCTTTCGGCGCTCCGGAGCGAACGCCTGAGCTCAGCGGGCGGCAGCTGACACCGCTGTGCGGCCCAACCCGGCCGCGTTTCGGGACCGGGCGGCACCGGCCGCGCTGCCGGGGGCTGCGGGTTCAGCCCGAAGGTCGGACGCGACCTTCTCCTCCATCTTCGCTCTTTTCTTCTCTCCTCCTCCTCTGCTTTTTGCTGCTGTTCAGTCCAGAATGGCAATTTTAAAACCAACCCACAAAGGAAGCACTGTGTAGGAGACATTTTAAAGAAATTGTATTGTAAAGCGAAAATGAACGCGTGGATCCTTTAATCAAATGAAAGGATGCCCGCTGGGTTTGTAAAGTGCTTGGTTTACCCTTTGTAGGGCTGGCTTTTTCTTACTGACGAATACCATCAACCTAAATGGCAGCAAAGGCACGACTCGTTGAGGGCAACAACAGAGGTGACTGGGAGGAACAGCTGTGCACATCTATATGTTGTACACAGCACACACACATCAGAAATGTGTAAGAATGAGCTGGGGTTTTGTTTGAGAACTTTTCTTTGCACACCACATTAGGTCACACCTGCCCCCAACACACCAGGAGGACAAGACCTACATGTCAGCTCTAACAGCTGGACTGTTTGTTAAAACTGGTTTGTTGGAGGAGGGAAACCAAAAGATCAGTAATGGAACCTACAGGATGAGATACAGAACAGAAAGATTTTGTCTCTCTGTGAAGCAGAGCAGATTTACACCTTTCAGGATATTTTCAGTTGACATTTTCTCCAGCTCCTCAGGCTGACGTTCAGTGAGCTGTGTACCTTCTCTGAGAATTCCTTGGTGCTGCTTTTCTCTGGCTAGACAGCTGTCATCAAACCTACCAGTAAAAAATGAACACACGTTTCTGTGCCTCCAGAATACATCAGTTAAAAAAGCAAAATGGACACGTAGACTTGTGGACACGCAGAGTCACTTTGTATGGTAGATATCTGTGTGAGCCTATAGGAAAACCACAACAGTGTAGGCTCTAAAGGGAAAGATACTGCTAAGAGTTTGACCATTGCAACAAGTGCAAACAGAACAGCATCCCCTAGAAAAATCACTGCTGCGTTCCTCCACAACTGCTCTTCCAGTGCCCATCGACTTGGGGTCCATGGAGAAAGCTCTGTGCTTCTGGCAGCAAAGTGACTGCTCACAAAACCTCCAGTGGCATTGTGATGGGAAAGTGTTTGCCTTCAGGACTGCGATCATTTTCTGGATAATTTCTGATAATCCAGGTGTATTATCAGGGTTTTGATTACGCCCATTCACTTGACCAGGAATGTATGTTGCTGGCATCACTGAGTGAGCCGGCCTCATGCTGAGACTTGGATGGATGAGAGGAACCTACACGGCCAATCTCCCAGCAGCACAGCGCAGTGGTTTAACAAAGTCCTGGGTTCTTTCCACAGGACTCAATTAGCCACCACTGCATGTCTGTGCTTCAGAAATGGAGATGTTCTAAGACCTGTTTGCACAAAACCCTAAAATAAACGTGGAACTTCCTTCAAACAAGCACACCACATTTGATGCAATGGGCCACAATTAGATCGGCTCTGTTACACAGAAGACCAATGCGTGGTCACTGGGCCATGTTTTCAGTTGATTCTGCAGTCAAATAGAAATTTCAGCATAAAAGTCTGCCATATAGAGAAATACATGGATTTACACCCCCACTCAACAGGAGTAATTCCTATTAGCCAAAGGAAAAAGAGGATAAAATAATAATGATACGTATATTTAATTTCCTACAATTATAGCAGAATATCCCAAACTCTTTAGAGTCAATGGCAGATTAAAATTGCTCAAGAGGGAGATTAAAAAACAATTAAAATTGCTATTAAAGCATCAAAACAAAACAAGTAAGCTCCCCTCAATCTTTCTCATCTAATCCTCTTGAAAATAATTGAAGCTTTCCTTTAGGTACTGGCTTAGAACTGTCAAATAGTCTCACAAAGAGGCCCCAACAGCCATTTCTCCTTAAGCCTTTTGTCACTCTGTTGACTCGCCATCACTCCTCCATCCTTATGGCTGCAGGCACAGCTTTTCTGGGAGTGCTTCTGCCTTCTGCCCTCACACACGGAGCTCAGGTGGATCAGCGTCCTCACGGTGGCCCAGAGCTGCAGCCACAGCCGCTGCCTCCTTCACACCACGTGCAGACAGGGATGGTTGGCTCTGCTGCCAGCCATGCCAAGAGCTTGCATCGCCATACCGAAGTCTTACAGGCAAGAAATGCACCCCACAGATCATTAGCTGAATTCTCCCACGATTCCACATGAACGGCTCGTGGAAGACTGTTGTGGCAACGTCGCCAAATGTCTCTGGAAACACAAATTACACACATATGCCTATTTTTATAAATGAGATTTGGAAATATCCGCAGCAATCATATGGTGGGAATATTTAGCTTCTTTCAGAGGTTGCACAGAAATGATTCCTCGCACTGGATGGATGTCCCACGGCCCCAGCTCTGAGATGCACGGCTGGTATTTAAGGACTGGACAAGCACAGCATTACAGTTACTCTCAGTAAGGCTTCCATCGATATTCTGCTGATATTTACACTCAGACATTGCTCTGTGTTGTAGAGCAGAGATGGAGAAATCGTTTTACATAATCTGAGCCGCACTGAAAAAAAATAAGATTGCATTATTGGCATGTCTTGCTGCCAAACAGCTAGAAACCTCCATAGAGGAGCTGCTGTCACCTTGGAAACGTTCGGGAGGAAAAACCGACCGCCTGAAGAGCAGCTTGGAGCCACGCAGCGTCCAGCCCTCCAGCAGCACTCCAGTGCCCAGTTGGTGCTACAGAACTTCACCAAAACGCCTCTCAGTTTGGGACTTCAGCAGTAGGATTTCAATTCATTCGTGCTCACTTCTCACACGTTATCACCCACAACTGTGCCTACGGGACCTGGGCATCAGGGAGTGCCTCTGTACACCTCCTGGAGCTTGCAGTGGGGGTGGATCCAGATTCCCAGTGGGTGCAATGGGAATCGAGAGAGAGGAGCTTGTCTGGGGAACTGTAACTCGGCACCTTCACAGGGACTGCCGATGGCTTCTCTCACGTGCACGTGAGGGCAGAACGCTGGCCCTGGTGACAAAGGTTCACCAACACGCACTGCACTCACAGTTGATACGAAGGTACCAATTAGCCGTCATTTTTTGACTCAAGCCGGTTCCGTTCACAGGAAGCTTAGAGGTCACGCTTGTCTTTATTGATTGCTGAGGCTGATCCTGGGATGTCGTCGCTCTGAAAATGAGCCGAGCAGCGTGGAGCAGCCATGCACACCCACCGCGGCGCATCCCACGCGGGCTGACCGCCTCCAGCGGCAGCGGCTCGCCGTCCCTCCGTTCCCCCGGCGCCGCGTGGTTCGCTCCGTTGCCGGGGCAGCAGCCGGACGTCCTTCCGTCGGTCCTTCCGCCGCGTCCCGGGCCGCGGGGCTTCGGCAGCGCTCGGGATGCTCCGGGCACACCGCTCGTGTGGGGGGTTTGTTCTTCGTGCAGCTCCGCTTTGCCTTTAAGGTGGCTCTGGTTTAGCTCGGTATATCCCATACTTCGCACTCCACTGCGTACCTCTCGTTCCCTAACCAGATAAAAATGCTTTCTTCTGGGCTTCTTTTATTAATAAGCCAATTACTGTACATACAAAAACGCTTTGGCAGCGTCCTTACTTCTCCACAAGAGATCTGTGGAAGTTAACGCTCAATTTGTGGCTGCACCCTGTCGCTACATATACCTTAAGCGCTCACCGAACGCTGCCGATTTATCTCCTGACACAGGCACCAACTTGAAGGCTTCCTGGAGATCTCTGTGTACTCACCGACTCTCAGCCGTCTCCATGTCAGCCCGCTTGCTGTGACGGAACCGCCGGCATGGCAGGCAGTGAGCACGGGGGTGGAGGAGAGGAACCAACTCTCATCTCATTTCTGGAAGAGGAAGGAAACGGTGCAGCAGCTCAGAGCTCTGACCTGAAAGAACACGAGGAAGGTGAACGTGAGAAACCACAGCCGTAACTTGCAGAATGCTGGGGTTAACTTCCTGTCTATGATGGAACAGTATGGTTCTAGGGGCAGTGTGATATTCCAAACCAATGAAATGATCCCAGTCGTTTTCTTCTTAGCATTTCACTGTAACAGGTATAGCTACTTCAAACTTAAACCATTCTTTTTTCTTTAGCAGTGAATTCCCTACTTAATCTGTGCAGCATTTTGACTCAGACTTAATGATGGTGAAAACCAGTGTTTGACTGTAGGGACTCAGTTCAGCCTCTCAGACCTCAGCAGCTGCTGCCAGGGGGGGGCTCACCTTTGGTGAAGGCCTCTGTGCCTGCAGGGGGGCACAGGTTTCCACCCCCATGTTGGATCCCCCATGGCACCAGCTGCCTATGAGCAGGTGACTGACTTCTGTGTCAGAACACGTGCTCAGTTACATCATGAATCAACTGATCTACTGTTTAACATTGCCATGCATCATTTAGTGCTGAATACTGACCTCCGCATTAAAAAGCTGTACTTAGATTATTTTCTTACTGTCATTTTCCTTAT